ACAAAAAAAGTCTCTACAAACTTGTAAGTAATTAATCGATTTTTCTCGCTTTTTCCGAGTATGTTTTAAGGTTCCCTCCAAAATCAGTCCTCAGCAATATTAAAATTAAAAAAATTACGGTTTTCGAATTTCTCCCTTTATTTGTGCTATAAGAAATTGATTCTTGACAAATTTCATGATTCTGGGGCAACGGGAAGTACCCTATGTAGGTTTTGATTGCGAGTGTGAAATTGTGCAACATAAACGGCTGTATCTTTTAATTGCGTAGACATTGAAGTTTAATCTTTTCACAGCTTCAAGGGGTTGTAGGCCTGAGTATTTCGTATTAATTTCAACTTCGTACCTCCACGTGTTCCTGTTGAGATACAGAGCCCTGAAAAATAGTAAAACTACTGTATAAGGGTCTCTTGGACTGATATTTGTAAATAAACAGTAGAAATAAACTAATTCGAAGTGGTCTGTATTCTGTCTAAACTGCCAGAGACGGATTTCGATTTCGATCTTTTTGGATCTCATCAGCGCGTCGCAGGCAGCACCGACAGAACACAGACCTTTTACCTTTTTCACTTTGATTATGATAACGTGCCTATCACGTTGAGATGAGCTACGCCGGGATTCGTTTCAGCAAGTAGATATCCATATATTTAAATGGACCTTGTTGGAGCATACGTAATCCTAAAATGTAGCATCGTACTACAGATGGCGTTTACCGCGCCATTTGTGGTATTTTCTAAAACAGTAGAAAACTGTCAAAAATCAAACATATCCAAAAGTTTAGTTTCTGTGTTTATCTAAGAAAGACATTTAATCTCAAGCAATAGTATTATGTCTTTTAAGAGCCTGAATAATGAAAAAGCCTCATTGTAAAGTGTTTTAGAATTACTGACCCCGTAACAGAATATTTTTACTTTTACAATTTTTATGATTAAGTCAAGAGCAAATATTCTTAAATCAGAAAGACGTTTGACATTGATCTAATTTAAGAATGGCAATTGATAGGATTTTGACCCCAGCCCCTTTGAGGAGGATTACATCCCTGCTGGAGTTAGTTGACAGTCAGGCTTAGGATCGGAAGAAGTGCAGGTTAAATTTCACCTGACTTCCGTAGGGAATTGGAGTTGTAAGAAATGATAAATAAGGGTTACTAGAGTACATCCTCTTTAGAATTAGTTAGCGACGGGGTGGAGGTGAAAAACAAATGTGTAGATGTGACCTGACCATTGGTCGGAGGGGTAACAGGGACGGATTTGACTTGGATTACCATATACAACATTAAGTGTTTTCTGGTGTTAACGGAAGATTGGAGGCGTGAGGGTGGTGGTGAAAAACTGAAATCAACGCAACCTAACCCAACTCATACCTAATTTAATCGACAACACAAAAACCATTTTGTGAAGCTCCTACTTACACACACTTCCTTCTTATCTGCTGTATAAGGTCATCCAAATCTTTCAACCCTTTCTCTTCCTCCTCTGCGTGTACCTGCGTGAAAAAATAATTAATATTTCTCCCTTTTTCACCTTCTTGTGGGATTGGAATTTCAATAAATCCTTCCTTATGTAATTAAGTAGCTACAACCATTTAAGTGTGATTTGAAGAATCTTGTTAAGAATTGTATAAGCAAGAATAGTAAAATTCCAATAATAATAATCCAACAATACCGTTTTTTCGATTTTTATAAAGGAACAACGCATTCTATGGTAAAAAGCTTTCTTGAAGGTTCCCTCTTCATTGGGAAAATGAGAAACAATTTACTACTGTCGTCAGAGGAACCAGATTTATTTTATATCAAATAATCCGTCACTATAAGCGGTTAAGTCTTACGTTTTATTGTACGTCGATATGTCTAATCTTTAAATAACATTGAAGGAGTAGATGGTAATTCTAAAACTGCTAAAAAAATGAAAGTATCAACCAAACAAATGCAAAAAAGGAAACAAGTACCTTTAATTAAATAAAAATCCAGTCAAGTGGTTCGTAATCCATTGAGAATGTTAGGTACTGCTTTATTTTTTTTTCCTAATCAAGCATAAGCTTAGAGGAGTTGCGGCTTTTGATTAACAATCCCTTCAAATATTGGAAACAACCTCTGTATACTATTCCCTTTTAATTCATCCTTGTGCCAGTTGATAGGAACACCAGTCCCTCTTGTCTCTTCCCTTTCGTGTTCATCTCTGTTTATCCGTCCCTCTATCTCTTTTCCTCTCTTTATTTTCATTTTGCTTTTTTTTGACGCAAATCATCATGTGATGCCGCTTTCTCATCTGGCCTACTTAACAAATCAACCCTCACGTACCTCTCGACTGGAGGGCGGCTAATTATGGATAGAACAACAGAAAGTCGGCCATGTTCATCATCATACACACATACGTACAACGTTCTCTGCATGTGCTGATTAGTTGAATAGGAGCCCAAGTACATAATGGGGACATTGTCGGCCGAAACAGGGCAAAAATGATGGCCGTTTCTTAACCAATGGGGCATGAAGTAACCCTTCATTGCAGGCTCTATTGGCTCGTTTATATCCCAGCCCTCGTCGAAATTCTCAACAGCATAGTAATTAGTATGCCAAGTAATTTGATCTTTCATCATGTGCATGCCATGCCGGATAGAGGTTGTCATGTCGTGATTTTGCCTTTTTTATTGAAGTACCTACTGTTGACCCTCCTCCCTAGGATATACTGCATTCAAGGAATGCATCAAGGACACTCCTGGCCGAGGGAGGAAAATTGTTGTTGTATAAGGAGGGCTAATAAAGAAAACGATTTTAGAATCTAGTACACGAGGGTTAATTAAATCCATTCCAAGGCAAGTCTCTCGGTATTCTCGTACTTACTGCCTTTTATTAGAAGCAATTGTTGTTCGCGTGGCTTCCAGGCAAATAAAACGAAACTTTCGACTGTTCCTTCGGGTCAACAATGCACTTGTTAAAATTGTGTTGTTGTGAGTTTTTAACATTCTCTGGCTTTGCTTGCCTCGAGGAAGACGTGCTTTAAAATTTTGAGAGGCATTACAATTAAAATCTAGAAAAACTGACTGTTTAGACTAATTATAGTCTTGGAATAATAAACATCATAGGTCAATCTGAACACGCAAAAGCAATAGAAATTTGACGAAGATTTCTAAATTCTCTCTATGGGTATACGAAATACAGACAAATGTCTCTTTGTTTATTCCAAAGTTGTCTCTAAATTCATGTCTAATACTTTTCTGAAATTGTTCTTCCTCATTTTTGAACAAGTCACAAGCTTAAGAGTACGAACAAAATAAGCATTTCTCTTAGACTTGGGGACTTTAGAAATCGGTAAGAGCAAGAAATAGCAAGAGTTTTGCCAGCAAGACAAGAAGTAAACCAGCAAGGAATTGCTAATACGATGTTAATTAATTTCTTGCCAATTTCTTACTGGCTTGATTCTTAAAAACTCAAATAAGACAAGACAAGATAAGCAGTTAACCAACAAAACTAAAAATCTTGCTTTGAGCATAACTAATTTGGACTTCCTCAGGGTAATAGTCAGTAATTATAGGGTTGTTCGGAAAGTCATTTCGTTTTTTTTTTTGTGGAAATGAAAGACTGTTTTCGTATAATAAACAAATACTTTATTAAATTATATATTGACCGTTCTGGTCCAACACCTTTTGCCATCTTTCTGGTAGTAGCATAATTCCACGCTCATAAAATTTTTGGTCTTTGCTGGCAAAAAACTGATCGAGGAGGTTTTTGACCTCCTCATTTGAGGTGAAGGTTTTACCGTCTAAAAAATTTTGGAGTGACCGGAACAAATAATAATCCGATGGTGCCAGGTCTGGAGAATATGGTGGGTGTAGCATTGTATCCCATTCAAGCTGTAAAAGCTTTTGGCGAGTGACCAAACTTGTGTGAGGTCTCGCGTTGTCTTGGTGAAACACTACACCTTTCCTGTTGATTAGTTCTGACCTTTTCTGTTGAAGTGCATCATTCAGTTTGTCCAGCTGATGACAGTAGACTTCCGAATTAATCGTTGTGTTATCCGGTAAAAGCTAAAAAAAAACGATTCCTTTAAAATCCCACCAAACAGACAGCATCACCTTTTTTTGGTGAATATCGGCTTTGGAAATGGTTTGAGCCGGTTCATCTTTTTTGCTCCATGACCTCTTGCGTTTGACGTTGTTGTATACAACCCATTTTTCGTCCCCAGTGATGATGCGCTTCAAAAACGGATCATTTTCGTGACGTTTGAGAAGCGAATCGCAGACGTCAATGCGGCGACACAGATTTCTCTCTGTGAGAACATGGGGAACCCATACATCGAGCTTCGAGGATAATCCCAGGCCTTTCAAGTGGTCATAAACTGTTGAATTTGATAAATTTAACCTCAATCCGATCTCACGTGTTGTTATTCGCCGGTTCACATCAACTAATGCCTTTATCGCGTCTTTATCAGCTTCAACCGGCCTTCCCGAACGTGGTGCATCTTCGACATCAAAATTGCCGGATCGAAATTTAGCGAACCAGTTCTGGCACTGGCGTACTGTCAACACACCTTCTCCATACACATCAGTCAATTTCTTTCTGGCTTGAACAGCATTTTTACCCTTTCTGTAGTAAAACAGTAAGATATGTCGAAAATGCTGCTTATCGCTCTCCATATTTAAAAGGGCACCAACCAAAAACTACTGCGTAGAATTAATTGGAATTTTTCACACACAAGCCTTGCTATATGAGCTCTCAAAGCATATAAAAATTATACGGCTTAAATGTGAAGTTGGGTGTAAAAGAATACAATTAAATCCTCTGTCGGGAAAAAACGAAACGACTTTCCGAACAACCCTATATTATATACCTAATAAAACCGGAGAAGGTCCAAATAAAGGACGAAAATTAAAATTAGTTATGAACATTAAAACTACCTTATGGTCGGACAGTAACTTTAGGTTTGTAAATTGTGAATAGGTGGTACATAAGAAAACAAAAGGGCGATTAGTTTCGCAAACATTACATGATTCTGTTTTCGTTGCAGGCAGTTGGGCTTGCCAAGTTCGATGTCGAACACGGTCAATTTGACACCGGCAGCTCACCATGACAGGTGCCACAAGCTCGAGTACCTGGCCGAACAGCAGAGAGAAATTTGCTCGCAACACGACAGAATACTTCCGGTACGTACGTACTATATTTATATTTTAAGTGTGTTTCTATTTACATTACTCGTTACATACTTCGCTCATAAGTACGCACTTACGGCGAAAAGAAATAACTGGCACAATGACTCCATTACTCTACCCAATGCATGGGTAGGTACCTGTTCCTACTCCCTTAAGAAGAATGTGATGAAGAAGAACGAAAACGGGTCGTTTGCTTTTCTTTGAAGTCCCAGGATAGGTTTCATGACCTGACAGATCCCTGTTCATAGTCATAAATAATAAAGTTGAACAAATCGCTAAAGGCTTCGGGAACTGATGCGGTCCTGATTCGGCTCTACATGCCATCGTTGGTTGGAGTTGCTCCATAACGTTTTCTTCTTTCAGCATCGGAAAAGCAAGGATCTCTAAACAAGCCTGCCACTTGTGTTGGCGAAATATATTCCTAAAATCAGCCACTTCTTCTAATTTTTCGTCTCATACGCTCTTTCCCTACTTTTTATTCCCTTGCATACCAGTATAGTTTTACTTTTATTTATTTTCATACAATACTGTTTTGTCAATACCGCTTCCATTTTATTTAAAGCTTTCTCTAACTATTCCTTGCTAGTAACTAATACTGCTATATTTTTTGCAAATCTAAACGTACTAATCTTTTGCCTTTGTATATTTAACCCTACAGTTGTACTGTCTTTAATGATGTTGATCGCGTCTTCGATCTATATCTGCCTGTTGCTCTTTATACAAACTATGTATGACTCTTATATCTCTGTAACTCATCCCTACATTTTTAAATATATTTAACATATTGTCCCATTGAACATTGTCAATAAATAATACAAATTAGGACAAACGACCTATCCCAATACAAACTTAATTCCAACATTTATTAGATAGGTTCTTTATCCAATCTAGAAGATGTTCCATATCAGTACTGACATCGATAATCTAAGATCTGTTTACACCTATGATAAATTTGTTACATTTAATGAGGTCTTTGTATCGTCATATTCCCCTTGTTTATTTATAATGTCTTTCTAACTAATAAGAGTATTTCATATATCTTTTGACTATTTTTGTGGTAAACGAACTTTTATGTCGCAGTTGTGGTTCAATTTAATGTAATAATTAGAAATATCTACCAATAAAATCGAACTTAATTCTAAATTTTATATTCGTGTTCTTAAATTTCGCTTTTGTTTAATCTGCTTGTCATTAATTTCATTACTGAATAAAAAAGGAAGTTACAAAATTTTTGTTTTAAGCTTTACAAACGTCATATAATTGTAAAGTGCTTCAAAAAATGTCTATCATATTTCATCACAATCTTAGTTAATAACGAAATAGTAGCTATTATAAAACATTAGATATTTGATATAGAATTCGTTAAACAACAAATTCAAAACAAAAATTAGTTTAACTTTTTAGTCTTTAGTCGTACAGTCCAAGACGACAGTATTTTAGTCTTTTATTAAAAGCATTCTTAGAGTTTTATTTTTAACTGAAACTTACTATTTATGAGCTGACGGGCTCTTCAAAAGAAACTTCATCGCATGTATCAGTCGTGAAGTGACAGGTGTGAACTAAATATGAACTACAGAAATACCACAAAAGTTTTGACCGAATTAAATGCAGACACACCAACAAATCTGTACATATGGTTATTGAAAAGAATACGTCTACTTCCTTAATATAAAGCATGATTAATAGCTTATGTTATTAAATGTAAAAACTTAAGAAGAAAAATTTATTGAATGAAAATTTTCAATAAAGTAATGAGGCTCTGCACTATTAATATTAAATAAAGTTCAAGGCAATTAAGGGTTGGAAGGACGAAAGCGAACACGGAAGTGTAATGATAAGCTTCCGTTATAAAAATGCGGAACCAGATCCAGAAGCGGATGTGAAAATGTATGCGGAACTTTCGTAATTGCATAAGCGAAAGCAGAGGCCCAAAATGCCCTGATGCTAATTCGATCCTGATGATTAGCAAGATTAGCAATAAGTATTTCAAGCACTTGATAGCCTAATGCAATGGCTTTCTTTGGATTTTGGTTCTCTTCGAAATAGAGACGGTTTTACTCTCGTCGTTTTCCAACGTGAAAAGCAAAAAAATACCTGAGAATGCGACCCGATGCAATGAAATTTCACGACGCTATAAAATCAAGTAACAACGACAAAGCGACAGACATTTCAGCAGGTTCGGCTCGGTGCCAGCCGGCTCTCGCATTTGTACTTAGACAGACCGAAGCGTTTATGTCCACGCTTCGTCGATATCCTGGGGACGAGTTATGTTTCCGAATTGTTAAAGTGTCCGGCATCTTGCCGATAGATGATATTATAATAATAATAATAACATTGTCCGATTGTCTGCCACTTTACGATTTTCTGTTCAGATTCTGGGCAATGGGGCGAAACTGGCGATGGAAGAGTGCCAACATCAGTTCAGACACAGCAGATGGAATTGCACCACTTTCATCGAACAACCCTCCGTGTTCGGAAACGTCGTCGCAGTTAGTGAGTTGTACAATTTTTTTTTATTTTTATTTCACTCAACACAATAGGGTTGCATGCAACTTGCTAAATTATTTAAAGGAAATAATATGAACGATATTTTTAAAGAATCAAAACTTCTTCATACGATTCGACAACTATCGTAAAGCTTCTTACAATGTCTATTATTTTAAAGCAGTTTACCAGAAATTTATTGAAACTACCAGACGCGGATTGCAATCAATCTCATTAGCTCTTTAGTTAGTTCAGGATCAGTGACCAAAACCGATGTAGCTCCTAAAGAGCGTATTTATATAAATATCCAAGTTATGACAGTATTATATCGTAATCTAGTAGGGTTTAGTTTCTAATAAAGTATCTTGGATATTAAGTAAAGTTTTGTTTATTAGGGGCTTTACCCATAAAACTATCATACGATACGATAAACCTTTATCGAATGCTATTTAAAAATTTTTACTTTTGGAAATATAAAGATCTGAAGAAAAAGAGTGGAAAGTCTTGGAGATAATACGTGTTTGTAATTTAAGCAAAGTTGTTCTCTTGAATGAAATTTAAAAAGTGAAAAATCTGGAAACTCTAACAGGGTTTTGGTGGTAATTTGTAATAATCATACTGCATATTATATGTTCCGTTATTTTCCACCGATTCTGGTTATCATCAAAGCAAAGTACCTATGTATAAATTTTGCAATTTTTTTAATTTTTTGTAAATGATTTTGTTAAGGATGAGGGTGTAAACTGGTACATTAAAAAAAAAACAATTCAGTGTATAAAAAAAATATTTAGTTTCTATAAATGCATCATGGCCTACAGTAGTGGTTTCTAAAAGGTGTTTTGCGGAACCCCGGGTTTCTGTTCTAATAAGAAAATACAAAGTTCTGCTAAAAGCAACCGTTCTGTAAATCCTTGAAAGAATATTTCTGAGGACATCCACTGAGTACAGAATCCATTCGCAAATCACGCCAAACGATCAATGTTAACTTTGTAACAAAAAAAGTTTGGATTCGGAGTTCATCTACCCTAGTCGAAATTTTCTTGGATCATTGAATAAAATGCCGTAAGCAAGTGAAACAATAGGAATATTACACAAAATAATCATCATTTAACACAAGCAACTTCTTATTTTCAGTTTTTTAGTTCTAACGGCTTGATTATAATCTAAAAATTGCTATATCTCACATACTTATGACATTTGCTTTTTCTTTTCAATATTTTAAGAAAAAGGAATTAAGCCATTTCTGTTTTTTTAAACACGCAAAACACCGTTTCTGTGTTTCGTCTTCAATTATCGGATGTTCGCTAAAAGCCTCGGATTACGAACTACGCTAACATACGGATGATAATTGTGTTTACTTAAGAAGAATTTTAACTAGCTTCATTACCTTCAATTTGACTTCCAACTTTATTCCCGACCGCACATCATGCAGTTATACCTCGTTAAAATAAATTCTTACTTTTTCTAAATATTTTCTGCTGTTACTTTTGTTCTTCGTACGTTTTATTCTTTCCATTTATAAGCAAACGCATTTTCGATAATAATCCTTTTACATTAGCAGAAAACCCTATACGAATTTGCATAGAATGTTTGTATATCAATACGCAATTAATAATTAAATTACCCAAAGTTAGAATACCTACGCGTTCTTCATCGTAAGTAGCTATAGGAGAATCAATGCATTTGTTGCTAGAAACTAGAAACAAATTATTTAAATTGTCAAGGAATTTACTAAAACATAGATTATAGAAAAGTCAGGAAATGTTTCTGATGTCAGTAATTTTTTTTTGAGTATCTAATATGTCAAATAAATTTTAATCCAATAGAGGGATAGATCAGGAAATTCAACAATCTGACTAACGTCGACACCTTCGGTTTCATTGTCAATCAACACACATTGATTCAATTAATTAAAGGAACACCCAATAAAACTTTCAGACTTTTGCAATGGTTCCAAATAGTGTCACTTTCCGGAAACGGTTTATTTCTTTTTTTTTATTTTCAGAAAGTAGAGAAACTGCTTACATTTACGCGATATCCGCGGCAAGTATAGCCTTCGCAGTTACGAGGGCTTGTTCGAAAGGAGAGTTGACAGACTGTAGTTGCGACAACAGGGTGAGACAGAAAAAACACCGGTCGTGGCAGTGGGGAGGTTGTTCGGAAGACATTCACTACGGGGAACAATTCAGTCGACTATTTCTCGACGTAAAAGAGGACCCCAACTCAGCTGGAGGACTAATGAATCTCCATAATAACGAAGCAGGAAGAAGGGTAAAAAAAAAATTGTTGCTCACATTAGGGGGGTAGTAACTATCGGTCTACCAGAAAACGCTTTAATACGAAATCCGAAATCTAACTTCCGCATTTCGGTGCTTCTCACTTATTTAAGAAGTGATTTATTTCAAAATATACTCCCTTAGAGAATGAAAAGGAAAGACATATTTATTAAACGTTTAACTTACTTGAAAGTTGATAGAAGAACTACGAAACATAAATACTTATAACTATTATTTTGAAATCCCATACTTATTAAAGGGGTAGATACAAGTGTGATTCAAAATTTACATGGAAGAATTTTATTAGTTTAGGGTATTTTTTTTTCAATTGGATATTGTTATAAAATACACTGCTGGTTTTTTAGACCATAAGGAGGAGAATGCAAAGAGTCTGCAAATGTCACGGCATGTCTGGTTCATGCAGTATGAGAGTTTGCTGGAGAAGACTACCACCGTTCCGACAGGTGGGGGAAGCCCTTTACCAGCGATATGAGGGGGCATCTCATGTGAAATTTGTGCAGCGAAGGAGGAAAAAGCTCCGAGCTGTAAGTCCAGATCTGAAAAAGCCCAACAAAACGGATCTGGTATACCTTGAAGACTCACCTGATTACTGTGAAAGAAATGACACGTAAGTTTCACTCCCTTCATTATTTACATGTACATGTACGTACAGTTTTTGAAACCCTAAAAAATATAATACTATTTTGGGGCTTTGAATTTCGTTATGAACGTTGATATTCCATTGATAATACCATGGCAGTAATATGACCACGGCGAAGTGCAGAATTAACTGCGGAATTAACCGTGAAAACTTATTATAAAAACAATTTTATTTTTTTTTTTTTGTAAGAATGAATATTCTCGGTACTCGAGGAAGGATATGCAACAGGACGAGTCCTGGTATCGACGGTTGTCGACTTCTATGTTGCGGAAGGGGTTATCAAACAAGGGTGCGAGAGGTTGAGGAGAAATGCAAGTGCAAATTTGTGTGGTGTTGCAATGTAGTGTGCGAGACGTGCAGGTATAAACGAGAAGAGCACATTTGTAATTAAACGAAAAACATTATTCACGAAAATTGCATAATTTATTTAATTGACGAACAGATATTTAATTTTACAGTATCTTGACCGCTCAAGATGTTCCTTTTTACTTACTCAATACAAACTGACTTTTCTTTGATGAAAATGTATCGCACAATCATTTGCAGTAATAGGTATGGGCCATATAGGTACTTAATTATTTATTTTTTAGCACACTTTTTAATAAGAACTAAGTTTTTTTATTTTTACAATTTTAGTTCAAAACTCGTTTNTTTTTAGGTTAACGAGGTTAAGTAACCGTTTCAAAAGTCAACCAAACCAAAAACACAAGTAGATTTTACACAATTTTGTTTAACATGATTAGAATTAATAACCAAATAATTGCCGCATCAACTTATCGTATTCTTTTCATAGCTAAACCCGTTAAACCTTCAGATTTAGTATCTATAATAATGTTTCAAATAAATCCGACTGCTGCTGATAACTCTTATCTCCATTTTCTTTTTGTGTTAATTATCTATGGCTTTATCATGGAATATCAATGGGATTGTGGCTAGCAATACCAATATTCGTATCTAGAGACAGACCTCTTACTTTAGCATTAATTTTTGTAAATAAATGAAGCCACTTATTTTGTATTGTAAATAAAAAAAAATGTGGAACGTACCATACAGTTTGTAGTAATAGTACCAGGTAGATAAAAGAAATAATTGTACAACTCTTCTAAAAAGACTCATAGCTGAGTAAGCATGTTTAAACTGCCCCTGAAATAATATCATCATTATCATAGGATCGTCAGTCCTAAGACTAGTTGGACGCGCTTTTCACTCATTTCTATCCTGAACGAATTTTCGCATTTCCTGAAAACTAAAATATCCCAAATCCTTCACCATTTACGAGTAGTAATCTAATTTCTATTTTCATCATCCACCTATAGCAGCTCACCTCAAACGCTTTTATTTTTTTTTTTCGCTGCGCCTACCGTCCATGTTTCGCATCCGTACACAGTCATGCAAATGCAAGTAAAGTCCCATACTTTTTATAATTACAACTACAACTACTACTTTATCCACAAAATATACCGTACGCTGTTTCAGTTGTAAGATAAAAAAAGGGTTTATTTAGTAATTTTAAAATTTATTTTTTATTTGCACAAAATAATGCATTACGATTTACCTGCTACGTATTTCATTTTAATTTTATGTAATAAATAAAATAAATAAATAAATTGTAAAAATAAAACTTGCACAAACAATAAACAACCTTTAGTTGTGGGGGCAGATCATTAATGCTTACTTTTAAATAGTTTTTTGGCGAATTACTTAATTATCCAACTGGTGTGTTAATAATTAATATTAGTATATATACATAAATACCTTACATACATACAAATATTATTGTAAACTGAATGTGCCATATGTACTTATTTATATCTAATAGTATGACTGCATTATTTTTTTATTGTCATCTCTGATTTGTAAGTATTAATGATATATAAATTTGTAACTATTTATTGTTTACACGTTTCCAGTATTAAATTATTTTTTTTGTACGTAAATTTTATGTAAAACTTGGATTTTATTTAAAACTACAAGAAATAGTAGATCGTCAACTTTGGCCTTAAATTACTGAAATGAAAAACAAAATATGTTCCTATAAAATGTTTTATTAAATCCAAAACTTAAATATAATTTAACAATTTTAAACAAAGAAACAGAATGACTAATTACTACACTTTTCTTTAGAAATTACTACTTCAACTTCTGATAACAATTCAACTGATAAAAATTTCACTGATAACAAATATATAATCATTAATAATTTATGGTTTTATTAAAGCATCATTAAATGTTATCAGCATTAAATGACATTCTTACACATATTTTCTGTGTTCCTGCGCATGTATCAAATGGTTTTAGGACAGTAATAACAGAAAGCCATATTTACAAACAATATGAGAAAATGTACACAATATATGTAATTATAAATAAAAAAAAAGAGTAAAAATTCCATTAATAAGTAAAACTTATTATTTCTAGAAGGCAACAAGTATGATCTGTAACTCATTCTTAGGTATACAAAAAAAATCACAGTTTTATGTTGTCATTCAAATAATTCTTTTTAACACTCTCTTAATGCTTCTATCCTGCTATAAATGAACTCTAGGCATGCCAACCTTGGAGAAAACTCCTGCAAAATGTTAATTACATTATTATTACATCCCAGATAATATGTACTTCATATCTTACATAAAATAAAGGTATTATTTGCTTTCCTTTTATACTTTTGATTGGAGTTTTTGTAATAATAATTAACATATAAAGTACCCTTTGCTAAAAAAACACAAGAAATATGAATCAATCAAACAGCAACAAAATAAAAATGAGATACCAACCATTGATATCACTTCGTTAATAACCACATCCTTCACATCGACCCATGGAATAAATAAGGTAGAAGTTCGTAACATGCTATGTGATTCCAACTGAATGCCTAACGACTTGATTACAAGCAATGTTTCTAAAATCTGTTAGTACATTATTGGTACTCCTCTTGTAGATTTAAAAGCTTACCTTTCTGTACCCGAAAAAATATTTTGCAGTTGAAATAAAGCACGATAAACTGAATAACAGCACATGTGAATAAATCTAAGGTTTCTTTGTGATAGCAATACAAGTTTAAAATAGCAATTGCAGTTAAAATCGTGATTTTCTTTCGATGGCGATACACCGATTTGTCTCTCACAATAACTTTTAAAACTCGTTTCTTGCATTGAAAGGTTTCTACTATAATATTTTTTCTGTTTAAGTTTTCAAAAACTTTTAAACTTCGAGTCATTTTCTGCAAACTATACTTTTTAATGCTGGTAAAGTATTGGAAAATTTTTAGGTTAACGAGGTTAAGTAACCGTTTCAAAAGTCAACCAAACCAAAAACACAAGTAGATTTTACACAATTTTGTTTAACATGATTAGAATTAATAACCAAATAATTGCCGCATCAACTTATCGTATTCTTTTCATAGCTAAACCCGTTAAACCTTCAGATTTAGTATCTATAATAATGTTTCAAATAAATCCGACTGCTGCTGATAACTCTTATCTCCATTTTCTTTTTGTGTTAATTATCTATGGCTTTATCATGGAATATCAATGGGATTGTGGCTAGCAATACCAATCCCGTAGAATTGTAAATGTTACTATAAGAACAATTTTTATTTACAATTCTTTAAAATATCTATTTTATAATTGCAATTTGATTACTAATAAATTAAAATTAAACGATTAAGTGGTAGTTTAACCATAACTAAAACGTATGTGACAACATGACTTATACATAAATTGAAAATTTGTAATTAATTGGACATCTAACATATAGTTTAGAAGGAAATTTAATCAATATTCTGAAAGAAGTAAGCATTATGGAGTAATTTATGTTTGATCCATGAAAACGTTTAGTATGCAATAAGTTTTAAGTTTCCCGCTAAAATAAAGCTGTCCTTGTATTTGCCCTTGTAGTCCCCGGTGAGCGTTGTTGTTATCCAACATGGCCGATATGTTTTGTGAGTTTACGAGAACGCGTTAATGTGAAGTTTTTAATTACATTTAATTATGAATAGCGTTTTAAATTATACGAGCTAAATAATTAAGTAATTTATGTGCTTAGGCAATCGTAGATGTTCGTATTATTTGATGGAAAAGTGTTTAATTGAATACTACAGCACTAATCCTTAACAAAGGTTGTGATTATGAGTAAATAGTAGAACTTTTCGTCAAAGAAAAGGTTAAGAATTACTTTCCACGGTGGTTTGAATTTTTTGGTACTTGAAATAATTGCCAAGAAGAAAAAATACATAAACGCGTCAAGCTATTTATAAACGGTTATTCGTAGTTTTGTGTCAAATATTACTCAGGTAGACCAAAATCAAAATGTGGAAGAATTGCAGTTTCTTCTTATCGTGAGAAATCTATTATATAAACATGACAGATACAAGAAGAAGAGTTAAACTTTACGCGCTAAACGCGGAAAGACAGTGGGACGACAGAGGTACAGGACATGTGTCTTCTTCATATGTGGAACGCTTGAAGGGTATTTCGCTACTCGTACGTGCAGAAAGCGATGGTTCGTTACTATTAGAATCAAAAATTCATCCGGATACCGCGTATCAGAAACAACAAGATACTCTGATTGTATGGTCAGAAGGTGATAATTTTGATTTGGCCCTTAGTTTTCAAGAGAAAGCAGGTTGTGATGAAATTTGGGAAAAGATATGTCAGGTGCAAGGAAAGGATCCTTCTGTAGAAATTACACAAGACATTGTAGAAGAATCAGAAGATGAAAGGTTCGATGATATGTCAGATTCTGCACCTCCCATTGAATTACCTTCTTGTGAGTTGAGCAGGTTAGAAGACATAAGTGAATTGTTTAGTAATTGTTTAACATCGCCAATGCGTAAGGAAAAGCTTGCAGCTGCCATTGAAAGTGAAAACTACATAAAAAAACTATTGAACTTGTTTCACATGTGTGAGGATCTTGAAAATATGGAAGGATTGCACCATTTATATGACATCTTCAAAAACATATTTTTATTAAATAAGAATGCATTATTTGAAGTTATGTTTGCAGAGGATACAATATTTGATGTGGTTGGATGTTTGGAATATGATCCTACATTACCCACTCCTAAAAAACACCGAGAATATTTGAAACAGCAAGCAAAGTTTCGGGAAGCTGTTCCAATAAAGAATCCAGAATTACTTTCAAAAATTCATCAAACATTTCGTGTTCAGTACATTCAAGACGTTGTTCTTCCAACACCTTCTGTTTTTGAAGACAATATGCTTTCAACATTGAGCAGTTTTATATTTTTCAATAAAGTTGAAATTGTATCATTAGTGCAGGAAGATGAGAAGTTTTTAAGTGAACTGTTTTCTGTGTTGACTAATGGTTCGACTTCAGACATAAAACGCAGAGACTTGGTGCTGTTTCTCAAGGAATTTTGTAATTACTCCCAAAATTTACAGCCTCAAGCAAAAGAGACATTCTATAAGACACTAACTAATTTAGGAATTCTACCGGCACTAGAAATAACATTAGGTGTTGATGATCTAAAAACTAAAAGTGCTTCTATTGATATACTTACATACATAGTGGAGTATTCCCCATCTGTAGTTAGAGAATACACTCTTCAACAGGCTAATAACACTGATGAGGTAATATTTATATGTAATATGCATGTAACAACTATATGATAGCACATATGTTTTTCCTACTTAATATTTTAAGAGAAGTAGCTGCATTTTATGCATAATATTTGCTTTATTTTTTCTTTGCTTGCTGCAGACATAACTACATGACATTGCATAAAATCTAAATTGAATTTGCATTCTTTTATGTTTAAATCCATTTTAATAATCTGTAGTAAAACAATGTCAGTTTTCCTTTAAATTTATTCACATAACATGAACTTTGAAATAGACCTTACTACAACCTTGTATTCATGACGTCCCTATCTAATTATTATTTGTTTTGTTTGTTAATACAGTGAGGTAATTTGCCATCTTACTATCTAGAATACTATATTTTTTTAAATAAACGTTTAGTATACTTAATCATTATCAGTACCTTAATTAACCTTCACTTTTGTGGATTAGATATAAACATTGGCAGATTGTTAAGTATGAAAAAATAAACTGTAGATTTGTAAAATACACATTGAAACTTATGGTATATGAAATGAAAAAAATAAACTTTTTTCTTTGTTTTTATAGGACCAAATTTTGTTAAATGTCATAATTGAGCAAATGATATGTGACTCTGATCCGGAGCTGGGAGGTGCCGTTCAACTCATGGGTGTCCTAAGAATTCTTTTAGATCCTGATAACATGTTATCATCAGTTAATAAATCTGAAAAGACAGATTTCCTCAATTTCTTCTACAAACACAGCGTTCACATACTTATAGGTAAATATAGGTTTACCTACAATTTAAATGAGTATTTGTGAATGATTTGATTTTCATTTAGCCCCACTTTTGGAAAATACGGCTCATGGGGAACCCCAGAAAGAAGACTATCGAACGGTCCAACTGCTGGGTTTAATAATTGAATTGCTATCGTTTTGTGTAGAACACCACACGTATCATATTAAAAATTGCATCCTGAACAAGGACTTATTAAGGAAGATTCTTGTCTTGATGAAATCCACGCACAAATTCCTAGTCCTGTGTGCTCTTCGTTTCATGAGGAAGCTGATTGCGCTCAAGGACGAATTCTACAATCGTTACATTATTAAGGGCAACCTCTTCGCACCTGTTGTGGAAGCTTTCGTTCGGAACAACGGAAGATATAATCTCCTCGATTCTGCCATAATTGAACTGTTTGAATTTATTAAACTGGAAGACATAAAAACCTTGTGTTCGCACGTGGTAGAAAATTATGGAAAATCATTAGACACCATCTGTTATGTGCAAACATTTAAGGCACTGAAATTGAGATATGACCAACATCAGGATAAGTTGAAGGATTTAGAAAGAAATACACTAGACAGGTAATGATAAACAATTATTTAAAAGAAAAGGCCAAATTGTTTTCTAAATTAAAATGGGCTGACATCCCAAAGATTGAGTTCCAAGTTATGTATAAAAATAAGAAAATGAATAACAAATAGTGGCGCGAAGTGCCCACCTTGCTAAACATTTAATTCTTTTTATCAAAATAAAATACAGCATAATTACATATGTAGCTTTCTATTAGTGAAAGAATGCTTAGAATTGGTTCAGAAGTTCCAGAGTTCACCCCCTCTTTATAATATAAAATACATGAAAACTGTTGAAACTTGCTAAAAAGTTAGACTAACAGGAGAAAATAGCAGTAAAATAAAATACACAAGAAATATTTTTACTATTGTTACATAATCAATCACTTTTATTTCAATACTTCTAGAAGAGAGTCAAATTTTTCCTTTACTTATGCTATGAGACCATTCTGCTAAATGTTAAGATTTTGGGGTATCAGAAATGAATCAGTCAATATGAAAATACATAATTTTTACATTTCATTGAGTTTAACAGGACTGATTGTAAGGAATGGTAGGTCTGGGATGAGTTTAATGCCATAAAAAGGATAAAAGTAATAAAAGTTTTATCTTATAATGTTCTAATTGCATTTTAGTGTTCCATCGATTTTACGCAATAGTCGGTACCGTCGCGACCAGCGCCAAATGGACGAAGACGAGGAGATCTGGTTTAACGAAGATGACGACTTTGACGACAACGAGGCCGTGGTGCCAGCAGCAACAACTGACATCCTTACTAAGAAACTTGACTCTGAACTCGAGAGTATTGGCAAAATGATGGACAAGAAGTCGGAGACGACAAACGGACCGAAAATGAACAACAGCAGTACGCCTCCCACCAAAACATCTATGATCAACAATAATGCTAGTGGTGGTCAGCCTCCCAGTCCTATGCCGGCCGAGATACGTTCAGCCCTCTTTAAAAGGGTAAGTGAAAGTCTTGTGTCACTTACAATGTGACAATTAATTGCCTTTTTTCTGTTATAAGGGTCTGGTGGATTACGAAGGTGGTGACTCGGACGAAGAAGATGAGGAAGGCGGCGAGATGTCGAAACGACCTCGGCTTACGTAGTCCGCCCTCAAAACTACTTCAGTAGGTGAGTAAAAACAAAAAAACAAATGGTTCGCGTAATTTCCCTTGAACAACGGGTCGATTCTGGACTTTGTCTCTGATAATTTGAACAGTCAAGATGAGCGCAGCTAATTAGGCATCGGTTGTACAGTTTTTGCGCGCTTTTAGACAGTGATGTAACAAAAAGTGTGTTTATGAATTGGGACAACTCGTTAATTTCTTTTTTTATCATAAGAACGCCCACGAAATTTCAGAAAAGTGAACGTGAAAAAGTGGGAAATGTCGGGGGAATGGACAGGACTATAAAAGGGCATCAAAAGTTCTTCATTGTAAGCCCCGAAGTCATCTAACGCGGACCGTTTTAAATCGTTTAAACGAGAATGTGTAACGAGTGGTTAAAGAAGATTAAGCGTACGACAAGTGCACTCCAATAAGAAGGAAAACGGCAAGAAGAAGAGAAAGATAAATGTGAAAATGGATCAGAAAATGTTTGGCCAGTATTCTGTTAATTTATGTTAAATGCGAAATCGTATTGTGTACTGCCAGTAAATAGTAAGTTAATATTAACATCTCTCTGTTTATTAAATCTGTTCATTTCCAAAACATAAATCATAACTGATCTGTAAATGCAAAAACTTCTATTTTTTAAAGTTTTTATTTTGTAAAGTAATGAAAATAGATTCAGTAATTTAAGAATGTCCCCATTATTTATTTTTAATAATGACAATGAAACATAATACTGTTAGGTATAAGTAGTTTTTTTTATTTAGTTTGTATTTTCCGTATAGTAGTGCACAGTATGAATTTCGTTTTTTCTTGTTTTAATTCCAATCTTTTTGTTACCGTCATTGCAAGAAATGTATCATATAGACCAATGATTTGCTATCATCACACTGGAAATATCATCACACAAAAGGGTGACGTGAATAATTAGGTTCAAAATGATTTATTTCAGCATGTTTTTTAAATGTAAAAAGGAAAACGACGAAAATGTTGTTCGTAATTTATAGACGACAACGAATCCAGAATACTGTTGTGTAAATTAGCAATTAAATTTATTACTAATGATAATATCGATTATTATGATTATAGAATGCGAGCGTAGTTTCAATGAGAAATGTTTGGTGTGAGGATAATGATTTCGTACTATTATCTTCATTTTTTCCTCTTAGCTATCGATTTGTAAAAAGAAATTATTTATTACGTCTCTGTGTACGTAAAGCAAATTTAGGAAATTGTTTGTAAGCAGAATTTTTCCTTTTTGGCTGTAACAATAGTGTGAAATAGTTGATGTGTTTAAGGAGAATCTTTTAATTTTATAAATTTGTTTTTTCTCACAAAAAATGAGTGCATTTACTTTAAAAATGGGGACCATTGCAAGAAAAGTCTCGTGTTATTATGTTGTCGTTTTTTAATATAAATACGATAGTCAAAAGGGAAATTTTCTTTTCCTATTAATATTTTATTTCTTCGTATTTATTTTGAAATAATAGAGTCGAAAAGATCATTAAAGTTGATTTTCTTTTTTATTTTTCTTTGATTTCTTGCAGGAATTACACTCAAATGATCTGTATTAAATTTACGGAAATTGTTTAACCAGTGAGCGGCTTAATAAGAGAAACTCAATGTTTTACCAGCACGTTCACATTGTATCATTCGATGCCACTACATATTTAATTTGTAACTTTTNGTATTGTTTTTTATTGTACAGAAAATTAATACTTCAAATAAAAAACTGAATGCCACACAATAAATTTACATCACTCATGGGTGATACAACCTTCATACAGTTCATATTTTATTTATCACAGCTATCTTTCGAATATTTCGCTTTATACCCTTAAGGAAATGTAAATGTCAGTATTTGTATATCTCTCAAAACTTGCTTTCTTAACGAATGTATGTATAATTCTGTCCATACTTCCCAAATCTGCTCTCGATCATGTACAATGCATTGTAAATCATGTCGGCTAAAAAGATATGTTTACAAACAAATATGCACCTTACGGGTATTATATTATGTCTAAACTTGCATGCAATTCAGGTATAATTACGATATTACTCCAAAAATGTTAGCAGATAGAGTTCATCTATTTCTTGGTTAAACACTACTAGCCCATTTAACAAATGGAATATAATTTATCAAACACCTATTCTTGCTTACATTACTATATTTATCATAAATAAAACTTATAAATAAATTTTAAGGGTCTACTTTTGTTTGTTTTTATTTACAAAAGTTAGAGGTTAATGGAAGTGTTTTCTACCGCTCGTCAACATCATCATAAGATTATTTTTACTATTTGTGATAAAATTAAGAAAAATACTTGGGAATTAGATATAATCGTGCCTGATTTGTTAAGGAGAATAATTAAATTAATTGATTTTAGTTACAAAATAAAAACATTTATATATTTTAATGAACATGAAAGTGGTGGTTATATAGACACTACGGGTGTTAACTTTTATAATAATAATACTCATAAATTTAGTTTGCCGCCTGATTTTCGAGAAATTAACCTCATGCGACTTATGCTCTCCTAATACTAAAATTCGGATTTTTAATGTTCATGCTAAAATTTCCCAATAAATGTGTTCGGCGCCTCTACCATAATTTAAAATTTCAAAATCATTTGCTATATAATTTAATAAAGAAATTGGCAAATAAACGACATTATTATATTTTAAATAGTATTATACTTGTGTTATTTTTGTACAGTTTTTGCG